CCTTCCACGATCTTTGCTATCGTAACTTTACTTTATCCTCCAGGATTATTACCTCCAGACGAGAAAGAAAGAGAAAAAGTTGGTAAGAACGGGCGAGTACTTATTTCTTAGACTCTTTTTAGACTAATAAGAAAAAAGCGTGGCTGTGGCCCAGGGGGGGGGCAGGGGAAGGGGTCGTTATTCTAATTTCGGTAACGATCCGTGCATGCACGCATGTGCAACGCGCATCCTGCTCGCTTAAACGAACATCTCCTTCGTGTCTCGTGCTTTCTACATCGTGCATCGTGCATCGTGCCTCGTGCATCGTGCATCGTAGATCGTGCACGAACGGGTTTGCTACTATTCCCCATGCAATGTTCGCGATAGACTCGAGCACGCTGCGGGATGTCGCGGTCGTTGCGACAAATACGAACAAAAATAACAAAAAGAGAGAAAAATATTAACCTACAGTCTATTGTTTATTCTCCTTTCATTAATATCGTTTCATCGAGCAACTATATCGATCCTTTCGCGTAAAAAAGATAAAGCTCCTTTCGTCCTATACAAAAGTAAAATATTCTCAGCATTAATCGAACGATGCCTATATCTTTTTATTATATCCTCTTCTATTTCTTTGGACAATCTACCACGCTCTCGTACGACCTTCTTTGTATTTTATTCTTCCTGAGCGTCATTTGGACTGATCCATGGGGAAGAAAAAAAATGAGCCCTTTCTTGGTTGTTCTATTGCTTCCGATTACGATCCCTGGCGTAATCGACGGATGGTCGTTCGAGGGTCACACCGAAAATAAATCGAAACGATAAATAGTTGTCTCTTTTCCACCAAGACGATTTGCGCGCGTTGCTTTCTCTTCCAAACAAATGAGTTAGTATTACGGTACATTAGTTATTTAATAGATAACTCATTTAAACTGTATAATACATGCAAATATGATTAAAAAAAAAAAAAAAGCATGAGATATTTGTCGTAGATATCCTTTGGCGGATCCGTAAGCTTGTGGTAGAGAAGAATAAGATAGGACATTTGATAGGACATCCGATAGGACATTCGATAGGACATTCTATAGGACACTCGATAGGGACATTCGGATTTGTGGAAGGAATTTTCATGAACCCACGTGCATCTCTTTTTGCCATGTAAATCTGATCGGGCAAAATAGTTAGAGGCAACGCACCCTTTTGCGATACTCGTTCATGCGCGCACACATTCGCACCTTGGAAATAGATAGTTATACAAAGAAGAGTAGCCGGGATGTACATATGTACACACATTGAGAGCGGCATAAAAAGTAGGCCAGCTCGAACAACCGTATGGAACCACTTTTAAAGATCTCAGCAAATAGAGATATTTCTAGTTGCATATGCCGATAATTCTCCGAGCATATAGATTAGTATGTTTTTTCATCAATACCATGGAAACACGATTTTACGCGATAGAGAAGCACGTTGTTTCTTCCGTATCTCACCTTCCAATGTTATCGCCGATCTCCCTACCGAGTAAGTAATTATTTTCTGATCGTGTGTAGGTTGTTTTTTTCATAAAAAAAAAAGTTATAGCAAAACGATTCGTTTGAAGAAAAATTACAACATTAACGTAATATGTACTCATACGAAGAAACTTGAGACCCGTAAGTCGACCATTTCGAATAGCAAATAGGATATACTATAGTAATAGACGCGGTCGAAGCACGTGCTAGAAAAACGTTTAGTTTCGGTAACACGGAAATACGATACGTTAAAGTAATTGCAGTATACTTTTCAAATCGCATTATCGATATTTATGCAAATTGCTTTTATTTTAAACTTCTATCTTATCCGTATGGTTCTCAAAGCACTTTATAATGTTTAAAGGCTTTACCCTTGACGTTTTATAAATTCCTTCATCAAATTTATCCTTACACTGTAGTATTTATACCGACCGGTATGCAATGCTTGCTCCGCCATCTTCCTTGAACTCAACCTCAAAGGTTACCTTCGGTGGCTAAGAGCGAGGAACGCTTCCACTTCCACTACTATCTGTCTCTCTCTGTCTCTGTCTGTCTCTCTCTCTCTCTCTCTCTCTCTCTCTCTCCTTCTCTCTGGCTGCTTTTCTCGTTTCTTCGTCTACACCATCCTCCAGGAAAATCAATATAGAGTGCCGGGGGTATACGATGTGGTAGTTACTACCACTCTTTCCCTCTGATACGCTCAGATATACACGGTCCAACCAGCTCTCTTTTCCAACGACCTTCTACGTTCATATATTCCGTTTTCGTTTTCATTCTGGCGCTCGTTTCTTTCCCAACAAACGATACTTTTCTTCGAAAAACGTGTATCCTCGAGAGAACGTAGAATATAGTCGCGTCGATTTATCACGTGGAACCTAATCGGCCATCAACGGTGACCAGGCGATACTATGATTCGTTCATTCACAGTTTACGCTCTTGCCAATATCATTGAATGGATTATATACGTGACGAAAGCTACTAAGCGTTCTATCATTTTTGCGATCTCCAATCGAAGGGGAAAAGAAAGAGAGAGAAAAGACACGTATTTCTCAAGAGACTTTTTATAGTGAGAAAACTTTTCGCTATAGCCGGAAGGGCAAATAGAAAAATATCTTCTTTTTAATTATATTTAATAACTCTAGGACAAGGAGTACTTTTTTATTACTAATGACAAACAAAATCTGCAAATAGAAATGGGAAGATTATAAACGCTATAAACGGATAATATAATACATATGTTTTCAAATTTTTAAGTATTCAAATTTGTCAAGCACGCGGTTGAATAGGTTGTCGGAAAAAGATTGTCTTTTTTTTACTATCATGAAAAGAACATCCTTTTTACTTAGCGCAGCGAGTACCGTCTACTATTAGTGGCAGCATCGAAACATTTAATGTTCGCGGACTCTCGAGCTCGCTTCAACTATTCGTCCAAGCTAATGTACATTACTCGGATCATTTTTCGTTCCCGCTTTCCTCGTGAAACTGAAATAGCGCTCGGGAGAGGCATGTAAAAGGAGACTAAAGGAAGATCGGTACGGCACTGTGTCATGCGCTCTACCAACAAGGCTGTCCGTGTTGCGACGTAAATTTCGCTGATGTCAACGAACCCTCGTGCGAAGCGAACAAATTATTTATTTATTCACGAACGACCGACACCGCAGTATCTCGTTATCTCTCGTTTACCGTTTATTAACTGCTATTCGTTTTAAAACTGACTAAAAAACTAAATATGTTATTATATGAATTATTTTAAATCATTATACATTTATTAGAGAAAGAGAAAAGAGATAATAAAACAAATTTTCCATCATCGAATGATCGAATTGAATAGAGGGATAGGAGAAACAATAGGAAAGATCGTAGAAATCCAGGCTGATTATAAGCACCGATACGGCCCTGGGTCATGCGCCATAGCGGGAAAGCCGAGAACGATGGTGGTGCGCTCTCGAAAGGTTGATCGGCCAGTGGGTGGGTTTGGCCAGGTACCCGTGCCCAATGGAACGAGAGAGAAGGAGAGAAAAATAGAGAGGGGTGGAAATACAAAAGGGGGCAAGAGAAAGAGAGAAAGAGAGAGAGAGAGAGAGAGAAAAGGGTGGAAACTCTTGAGGGGAGTCGTCCGATTGAGAGAGAGAGAGAGTGAGAGAGAGAGAAGGAGGGAGAGCAGAGTAGGCTAGTAGCGACGTACACGTTGTGCCAGCCGGCAGTAGAGAAAGCCGTGCTTGACGCGGCCTACACGGCTGGCCGTAGTAGTGCGTGCGTCTCCGAGCTTCCTCTTCCTCGTCCTCCTCTCCTACCTCCCTCGTTCCTACTCCTTCTGCTTCAGGTCTTTACTTCTAGTTCTTTGCTTTTTCTTCTTCCTTTCTTATATTTCAAGGAGCGACGTTCGGTGGTGTTCTCTCGGTAAAAATTGCGCGCTCGCGCTCGCGCAAACCACAGGTTAGAGGAAGAGAGAGAAAGAGAGATGAATAAATGGGTAAAAAGAAAGGGTAAAGGAAGTGTAGGGGCAAAGAGGGCGGAAGCGTGCCGATTTCAGGCGTATGTGAGTGTGTGTACGTGTGTATGAGGGTGCGTGTGGCAAGCTCGCGTCACCGCTATACGGCACAGTGCTGCCGAACACGGTCGTAGTCATACGGACGTTGTCGTCCAAGTACGCGAAGCACGCGCCGCATCAAGAACCGCGCGTTTTCGCGAGAAATCGAGTGGAAAGAAAAAGAAAATACTGGTATCGTCGACACTTGTCCCTACCATCCTGGTTACCGCTACTTCCAAAACAAAAAGCTTTTTTCTTTTTTTTCTTTTTCAACAAAATCAAGGAATTACCGCGAATGTTCGCGAGACTAGTGTGATACAAACTGGGAGAAGATAATCGATGAATGTTCGTGACTACGATCGGAATCTCTCGCTAAATTAGGAAGCGAAAATTAGGCAACGTCCCCTTACTCGCTCGGAATGCTTCGGAATCTACGTGGAAACAGTCGGAATTCTACGCTCGCGAAGAGAGCGTTCGTTTCCAGCGGCGAGGGCGAAATCGATCGAGTAGCGTGCTCCTCTGTCCTCCTGGAAACGTGGAAATGCCGAGGGAAAATATGTCGGGAAGGTCGGCGGCCGGTTATCGTGGCCGGTTACCGTAGCCGGTTGCCGTTGCCGGTTGCCGTTGCCGTGGCCTACGCGCGATTTATTCTTCGCGCGAATAACGATTACTCTTTTTCATCGGCTAACGCCTAACGGTTAAACGTGTTAGTTAACGTGGCACACCAGAATTCTTCAATTTCTGCTTTCAAAACAACTCGTTCTTCCCTTTTTGACAACTAATATAAGTTAACGTTCGTTCGTTTCACTTTGCGGGATGACAACGTGACAAAAATTCATCTCTTTTTTATCCACTTTACTTATTCTTAATTTTCCTCCAATTTAATTAATCAGCTTTACCTACCAAGAGTTTCACAATTTTCTCTTTCTTCCACTCTCTCTCTCTCTCTCTCTCTCTCTCTCCCTCTCTCTTTCTTTCTCTCTTATTTTTTTCTTTGCTTTTCTCGATAAAAACTTATTACAAAGAAAATCTGATCGTGAACTATCGACCGGGAATCGTACATGACTCTCATTGAGAAAGTGTCCATTGTCCGAATGATTAATCGTCCTTGGCACAACGGGCCTCGAACTCGTACGCTCTTGAACTTTGATAATCTCTAGGGAGAGCGTGTAAACGAATCGAAAATTTCTATAGTACGTTGAATAAAAACCAAGAAATAACTGGAGACGACAAACGATCGAGTTTAAAATTTAGCGAACGTGATGTGCCTTGTAAACGGCGAAATGTAATTTTTGTTGCAAATGAATGATTGATAGAAAACAACTCGAAAAAAGAAAAAGAGAGAAAGAGAGAGAGAGAGAAAGAGGGAAGAAGAAAAAGTTAGTGCGCGCGTCACGTGTTCTGTTTCACCGGAAACGTGATCCACCGGTGACGATTTAAACTTTTCCAGTGAGAAGCAACCTGCGAGAAAAAGAAGCATAATAAAGTTTAAGTGGACTGGAAAAATTTCTTTATTTCCTCTAACGTGGTAGCAGCCTCGTCGACGACTCGTATCCTTCTATTATCATCGTTAATATCATTATCTTTCTTATTATTACCATTACTCGTGGTTCTTCTCGAAACGTGGATCATACCGAGTCACGAAATCGCATTCACGAGAAAGGTGGAGAAGAAGAAAGAAGAGACGTTAAAGTGGAAGAAACAGAAAGAAAAGAAGCAGCAAAGAAATCTTTCTTTCTCGTAAAAAGATGGATACTAGAGTGGAAGATAGTGGATATATCACGTGACATATCGACCCGAAAGCGAGAGGATTTAAATTGAATTTCATTCCAGGCGCACGCGAATTCGCGACGGTGTACGTGCATGTAAGAGCGTGCGAGCGCGTGCGCCTGTGTGTTTTATCGTGTGTTATCATTATCTACTCTTCGATGACCTAACGTGAAGAAGAGAAAAAGAGAGAATAGAAAGAAAAGAAATATATATATACATATATATATACATATGAAATATTATAGGCATACAAATTACAATATGATATATATATACACTATACACATCGTTTACCAAATGGTTTAAATCTCATGCGTGTTTCGGAGTGTAAACTCGAATATCTTTAGAATCTATATCAACGTTATTTGCGTATACGTATATACGTGCGTACGATCGCGTCATCGGCTTTGCGAAGAAAAATAAAGAAAAGAATAGCCTGATTGATGATGATCAACGACCAAAACGAATTTTGTCAATTATACTATTAAATCGTTCGCTTCGACTTTCGACGTTCGATTATTGTATATGTTTTAAGCTGATTCCTCTTTATGGTCTCTATTTGATCTACCTCTTATAGATAAAAAAAAAGAAAAAAGAAAAAAAACAAAGTGAAAAAAGGTGAAGGTACAAAGGAGAGAAAAAAGGAAACGTCGACAACGAAAGAGCGGTGAACGGCCTAAATATGAATATGCATATACGCGAGGTGCAGTGACTCGAGAAGCACGCTTGATGATAGTGTCGTACCTGTTTTAATTCATCGTTAATACATTCTTCTTCCGATAGGAAAGTAATATAATCTCTCGTGCCGTATCAGAGGTAAGAGCAACGATTTAATTAATATCAAGCGATTCCGGCGATGGTGCTGATCAATTTCCATGGTTCATCCTCCAGGATAGATTAAACTTCAGACTCACCGAGAGTCTTCTCTAAAGTGTTTCAAGACTCCTTCTGTGAATCACCTATCGAACACGGAATACGCTTCGATAGAATTTAACGTGTTTTGTTGTTTCGTTGTACGTATATCAAACACGTTCAAGATACTATCGAGTCGTTCCTCATTCCACTTCCATACTATCTTCTTCAAGAGTGTAACGAAAACGCGTCGGAAAAACAAGGTATACGATAACACTTTCCAATAGTTTTCGTATTTCGGATGTTAAGCCTTCCTATGATTACGCAACGTAATGAAGCTATATTTACCGATGTAAGAGATAAAAAAATATATACTAGATATCTGGTATCGCATTAATGTGGTCCTTGGCGTTCGCGGAACAATTCAATTACGTAAAGTTTTCTTCCATTTGGTAAGAAGATACGCTTTTTTAACGTTGATGCGAATTCTTTAATTCAATTAAAATCTCCACCTGTTTATTCGATTAAGCCTTCATTTTCACGGCTAGTATCGGATTAGTGTATCGGACTAGTTGTAGATATATCGATCCCGTGCGTTCAACATATTTATCGTTTTTTACATTGTTCCACGCCTAGTGCAGGAAGCAAATAATACAGTGGACGATAACTCGTCGATGTATAGAAAAAAACTTACGAAACTCGGTCCATCTGTTTGTTCTATTTCGTTGCACGATTCGTTCCACATCGTTTCTTTCGCTCAAAAAACGAATATGACCTATTGTTGGGGGTCAAAAGCGATATTTCACTCTATCGTCTATCTTTTTATTTTTTCCTCGCTTTTTCTCTTTTCTCTCTGTTCTTTATTAAAAGACAAAGAAGAGAGCGGAACGGGAAGAAAGGCGTACACAAGTATTTCCAACTGATTTAACTCGGCTCAATCGGAAACGAGAACGCTTTCGAAAGGGACTCGTTTAATTCCTTTTATCGTCGAGCAACGTGTACCTACTCGAAGGATATAATGCTAGGGTAAAAAAGAGAATGTAGCTTTGTACCATTACCAAGAATCTTTCGTTTAGATTCAAACTGAAAAAGATACTTACAATTAAGTATATTCGTTCTACGCGATTCTCTTTTGAATATTTCCAGTTAATCCGAGTGACAACAAAGGCAAATAAGAAATAGTTATCCTCGTGTTTGCATTCGCCGACCGAACCTATTTTTTTCTTTCATTAATCGTAAAGAATCTTTATCTCATTCTCAGTCTTTTCTTCCAGTCGATTTGCTAGTTTATCAAATAAAATACGAATCCTCGAAATTTCATTTCTTGTCCAATCTTTTAACAGTTAGCGAGGTATCGTAGTAATTTAAACTCGCGTGACGTATGGCACAATTGTTCTCGAGTCATAGCAGAAGTATCGCCAAGAATTCTTGCCTCGACGAAAAACGTGCTTATTCGTGCCAAAAACACTTGTTGGCATATTTTGCCTATTGCACGTTTACCACTGACTTATGCGTGCTCAAACGACTTTTCTCGAGAGGATTTCTATAAGATAATTGGCAACGACAGGATCGCTCAACGATGGATCCCTCATTACCTTTGAAATAAATCATTAGCAATCGACTTATGACGCTTAACTCGAGTCTTTCAAAATGATTGACAAACGTCAGGAAAACGTAACGAAAATGTTTACCATAATGACAAAAATGAGTGCTAATATTACTCGTCGAGCTTGGAATCGATAGCTTTACTCTCGCGTAGCCACGCAATAACATCGCACAATCCCTTAACTCTGAACCTTCCAGCTCATTATTTCGGCTCTCAATGATCGTTTTTGACTTATTTATTACGATTTCTTTCTCTCTCTCTCTCTTTGTCAATAAAATGTATATTTTAAAAAGAGACAATCGATCGATAATTCGAACTTGCCACATCTTATTTTTCAAGACTCCTCAATTACAATCATTTTCATTCTCTTTAAACTTACAGTATATTATTTCCCTTCGTCAGCGTGTACGAAGCAAATCGGATTTCTTTGAATGAATCACTTTCGTTGGTAAGGTCAGTTTTAGCCAATCGTTTTCGAAACGACCGCATTGTAATTCGCGCACAGTGCCAGGGAAAAGTGGATTAAAGCCTTTATTCGAGTCATCCCGGAGTTCGTGCGTGCAAGCATGCGTCACACAAAAAAACGAGAAAGCTTACTTTCTTGCGAAAACAATCTCGAACGATTTCATTCGGAGGGGAAAAAAAGAACGATACACTTAACGGATCATGGATTTGAACGATCTATTTCGATACGTCGAAATGCCTTCGAGCCCATTAAGATTGTAACTCGAATCTTTTTCCAAAGACTATCATTTATCTTCGGAACATCAATGTCCGAGGAAAAATTCGAGACGATAGAATTACGTTTAGTAATATTAGACTTTTTCGAGTCACATAACGGGTTAATTCGTTACACTTTTCAACATGGAGCATGATTGTTCGCACTCGTCTTTCTTCCCTTTCCCTTAACTACTCTTTCCGAGTATTGACTCATTCGTCGAGCTGACTGAAAACGAAACTTTACTTCGTGGAGCTCGCTCGCCTCTGACCTCGAGTTTTAAATATTTGCAATCGATGCCACGATCTCGCGAGTCGTTGACTCCTCTTCCGGACCGACACTCGAGTTTGCCTCGACTCTCATCGAGTTTTAGCCCCTTTCTTCTTTACCCACCGGTCTATATTCTCTCTCTCTCTCTCTCTCTCTCTCCCTCTCTCGTTCTTTTCTCTATCCAGTATTGGTTGTCGACTCTAGAGAAGCCTCATCCTGACGTCAGAGGCCGCTCGCTCTGAACGAGATCCGATACGATATCGCAACGGCGCAGCACGTCGCTCTCGTTACACATCAGACATCTACTGAAAATTTTCACCAACGTCTCCTACTCCTCGATATCTTTCCCTCTACTTCTTCTCCTTTATACTGTTAAGGATGGCCGATCGATCATTTTATTTTCACATAGACCGAAGAAGAACGTGATGGGACTCGGTCGATCCGATATCGAATAGTCCTCCAACATACTTTTGTTTCTCTTCCTCCGAAAGATCTTCAAATCGTTTGCCAACTTTCGACAGCATCTCACATTTGATCTACGACTCGATAAGTCTAGAAATATAATATAATGGAGAATGTTTAGAAACATTTGAAAATGAAAAATGTTCGTTCCATTTGCAAAATGGACGACGCATTCGACATTTCTTATTTATACAGAATCCGTTGTATCGTTAACCACAGATTTTTATCTTTTTTTCTTAATAGGTTAAAGGTTTGATGTTTTACTCGCAAATTTGCCATTAAAATTTATTAATCCATAAGGACAAAATTTATTTAATTTCTTAAACGTTCTTCGCGCGACGTAACGAGGATCGAACTTAATGAAACGTCCGACTCTTAGAGCCGGCTGACGTCAAATTGAACCATTTTAATTTTAGCATTTTCCGTATATTGTACTCGCTTAATTTCAGTTAGATTTATAATTTACTAAAGAGAGAAGAAGAAGATTTTGTAATCTAGCGTTATAAAATCGATCTTGGTATCATAAAATATCTATATCTAATTGTAAGAAAAAAGATTGATCGTTAAACCCATTCGTATAGAAATTTTAGTATCATTCGTCACCCCTTATCGATCTCTCGACCGTGATACAGGGACCATCATTCATGACGTTTCCATTCTTATTTTGATTGTTGCTCGGATCGGAAAAACGACGCGAGAGAATGAGAATTGGATCTTATAGGATTGACGTTTTAAGAAGGTCGCGTTGTTAATAATGAGAAAAAATTGAACGATGATTAAAATCGCAAATGGGCAAATTTGATTGATTAATAATAGCAGCATCGAACGTTGAAAAGGACGACGACAAAGATGGTAAAAAAAAAGGACAAAAAATGGGAAAACGTATATCGACGTCGCTTTCGAGCATGCTCTCGAATCTTCGAGCAAATTCACAAACGCTTCTAGTTTTTTTTCTCCCTTTCTATGGAAGAAGGCTAGATTCGTTGGCTTTACCTTTTAATCGCAGCTTTTCACGAAAACATGCCGTTATTGTTATCGTAAGCGTACGAGAGCAGTACCTCCGGTATCTCATTGACAATAGAATGAAAAAGGATGTGAATAGAAAAAACGAATGGAAAGATAGAAAAAGAGACCTGAATTCAGTAGGACTTTATTCACATACAATAGTTTTGTCGTCTCTTGTTTTTTCTTCCAGCCCATCTCCAGCCTTGTTTTACCGCAAAAATGTCTCTTTTTCGTAGACCCACCCATTATACGACCATACTTTCCGGTCAGCATCCCTTCTTCTCACTCACCAACGACATCCTCTCTCTATTCGACCAGCTTGCTCACACCTCTCGTTCCTCCTACTATCGTTTTGCTTTTTTACTACCCTTACAAACAATAGTACCTATGCAAAGCAGACTCGAAGATCAAAGGGAAGCATCACGCGTTCTATCGTGTATGTTTGCAGATTGTATTCTTGCTCTTAATCTTTTCTCTCTCTCTTTTAACTTTTCAACTTGCACCTGTTTTTTCTTACCCTTTCTCCTTTCCTCTCCCGCTTCCTCTTTCTTTCTCTCTCTCTTTCTCTTTCTTTCTCTTGGCCAGATTTACGAGTACGTTCGCGTCAAACGATACGCGAAGAAACATTGGCACAGGGAGACAAACAGAAAGAGAGAGTAGAACGTACTATGCGCACGTAATCGAAAAACGAGAAAAATGAAATACAAGGGCAAGTGTGTCGTATGATGAAATGCGAACTCTTTCAAGTTATCGAAGTCATTGTTCGTGGGTATATGCTCTAAATGCAACAACAAATGATCACGATGACAACGATTGGCGTCTGCTCCAATATATTATTTATTTGCATCTGCGCGCGTTTCACCTTTATAATTCTCTCGAATTACATGCCTTTTTAGTCTTTTT